CCACTGGGTCTCCTCTGTAAGTCTGGCTTAGGCCCTGATGCCAACAGTCTCCTTTCAAGAGGGGCAACTGCTGTGTAAAGAGCAAGGCAGGGATGAGTGGGAAGAACTTCCGGGTTTCGGAATCCTGGATCCTGGCTTGAGTACTAGTTCTGTGACTCTGGACAGTCACAGAAATGCTGAGCCTCAGCGACCTCACGTGTAGAATGGGGACGATGTTTTACCTAGCTCACACGACCAAGTGATGACTCAATTATGTGAAGCGTGTGCACACACACACTCCTAGCATGTTTGCCAGGTATGTGGCAGGCATTTGATAAATATAACCTTCTTGAACCTTCCTCTCTTCTCAGGACCTTAGACAATTGTCTTACTTTCAATACCTTCTTCGGTCAGTTACCAGCGTCAGGGGTCAGTCTGTGGCCAGGGTTGGGGCTCAGTCTGTGACTAGGGTTCAGTGTACAACCAGAGTCAGGGCTCAGTGTGTGACTAGGGCTCAGTCTATGACCAGGGTCAGGCCTCAGTGTGTGATTAGGGCTCAATCTATGACCAGGGTGAGGGCTCAGTGTGTGACCAGGGTCAGTCTCAGTCTGGGCCCAGGGTCAGGGCTCTCAGTCTTATCCAAGAAAACCAAAGATCCTCTGAGTATGACTTTCTGGCCCTGATCTGTGCCCTACCCCACCCACCTGGGCCTGGGCCAAGCTGGCCCCATGTGCACAGAGGAAGCAGCCCTCCCCCTCCCAGCACTGGCTCTGTCCCTGCTCACTAGCTCTGGGCAGCAGGCAGTGAGAGAAGCAGCTGCCAACTGACAGCCCAGCCATCTAGCCTTTGGCCCAGGGTTGGAACCCCACAAGCCATCTCCTGGCTGGCCCTTCCCCACACCCTGCCTGCTGGGCCACCCCCACCTCACTAGGCCACTGCTTCCTGGTCCCTGCTGTGCTCTGACTGGCAGGTCTGTCTGTGCCAGTCACCTGGGAGGCAGGCGCTGCTCAGGCCCCAGGGCCTTGAGCCCGGCCCAGACCAGTCAGGGGAGACCCTGGGCCTCAGCACTGGCCCAGCAGACCTGGGCGTGGAATCTGTCTTGGGCTGTACAGCTGGGGCTCTTGTTGCCTGTAAAGAACTGAGACTGTTTCCTAGGCCAGAGCACAAACCATCCCAGCAAGCCTGGAACAGCATGGAGGCCAAACCTTATATCCTGGCCATGGGAAGACCGAGACTCAGAGAGGGGCAGGGACTGGCTTGAGGTCACACAGGGAGTCAGGGACAGTGGGCCCGACTCTGGGTTTTCCCGGTCCCCTTCTGGCTTCTCTCCACGGCCCTGTGGCTTTCTTCTGACAGGTCTCATGTGCCCACCGTGAGCACTGCTAAGGATACCCCTCACCCCCGTAACACGCTTTAGACCCGTCAGCGTCTCCCGCTGACCGGCGCCACCATCTCTACAGCCCTTTGAGGCAGGTTCCCAGGTGATGGATTCAGGCATCGAGAGGTGAAGTAACTTTCCCAAAGTCACAGAGCAGGCTAGAAACAGGGCCAGATTCATTCATTCATCTGTTGATTCATTCATTCAACAACTATTGACAGCTTCCTATGTTCCAGATACTGTGTGAATAGTAGGGCTAGAATGGTGAGCAAAACAGACCTGGTGGCTGCTTATGGAACTAGTGGGGCACAATGCGGGGAGGCACTGACGAAGAATAAGCCACTAAGCACAGAAAACATGTGAGACTGCAGCTGCAACACTGGAAGAGGGCATAGTCCCATGGAGGCATGTAAGGGGAAGAATTTGTCCTGGTTGGGGAAGTCAGGGAGGGCTTCCTTGAGGAGGTGATAACTGAGCTGAGATCCAAAGAGGGGAGGGGAAGGGAGAATGTTCTCAGGGAGGGAGGGTGCAAAGGCCTGGGGTGGGAGGGAACAGGGTCTGCTCAGAGAACTGAGAGATGTCCAGTATGGCTGGAGGAAAGAGAGGGAGGTGGGGGGTCATGTTGCTAGAGAGCTGGAGGGGCTGGCAAAGACCCAACCATGCTGGGCCTGGAATCCTCCTTACCCTGGGAGCAATGAGAAGCCATTAGAGGGTTCAAAGAATGGGTTCCTTTGGTACTGTGGTACCACAGTATCAAATGGTAACCTGCCTTTGAAGAGGATTTGAAGAGGGGCAAAATCAGATGTACCAAGAGCAGAATAGTGCAGTAGCCTGAGGTGGTAAAGCCGGCAGAGAGACACCACCAAATTCAAGATAGGAGAGAAACTGACATGACTTGGTGACGGATTGGAATGGGGTGGGGGGGAGGATGTGATTACTGGTGCCGCGATGGGGATGGGATCAGGTGGAGAGAGAGTATAGAGAAAGAAGAGTGACTTAGGCTCGAAACCTGGGACAGGACAACATTTAATGCCATGTAGAAGAGATAAAGAGGTGTACAGAGAGGAAAATAAGAGGGCGGAGCACCTTGGAAGCCAAAAAAAGAAAGGGCATGAATGGTCTCAGGAGGGGCTAATGCCACTGAGAGATCATGGAAGATGAGATGCCCACTGGATGTAGCCAGGCATGGCGATCACTGGTGACCGTAGAGAAAGCTATTTTAGTGGAGAAGTGGGGTCAGATCGGAAGGAGGTCAATGGTTCAGATGGAAAGAGGCAGAACTACAAGAGGAGCCAAGCAGACCTGCTGGTCTGGGATTGTCACCACTGGAGCACACGTCCTATCACTAGATTGGCTCAAGGCTAGAGACTGCATAGGGGTAAAGTGGCCACGCCCCAAACTAGGGAGGCCCCATCTCTGGACCTGAACCTTCTTCAGCTCCCCATTAGTGGCTTGAATGAGGTGAATGGCTTTGGGGCACTCTCAGGCTGATGCTTCACCCCCACCCCCCACCACCTGGGCCTGCCTGCTGGGATGCAGCAAACTTAGAGACCAGGGCAGAACTAGGCAGACACAGGAATCCCCAGGACCCCACTCCCAGTCTGAGGTGAGACACTTGGGATGGCAGAGAGCAGGAAACCAAACCAGGAGACCAAGCTGAGGGTAAAGAAAACAGGGGCAACAAAAAGATGAGAAAAAATGTTTTGAAGGAATAGGAAGTTATACATATATATTTAATATATACTTATTATTTAATATATATTAAATACATATAATGTATATATTTTAAGCACTGAAATACTCATCATGAAAAAAATGAAAACTTGAGTGGACTTCTTATGCCTATTGGACGCTTTGTTACCGGGTACTGTATTTGGAATCAGATATATGGGGGCCATCCTATTCTTTCCAGGGTTTAGGGCTTCTGAGGGTCTTGGTCCTCCCTCTAGGGTTCCTGCCTGGGGCTGGGGGCTCGCACTGAAAGCTGGGTCCTGACAGCTGGGCCCTCGTTTTCAGAAGCCCGCCCTTCAGCTTTTATTTGCATCTCATTAGCACCCTCGCGCGCTGGTGGCAGCTCCGCCTGGAGCCCTGGAACTGCAGGCTGCAGGCTGGCCCAGGCTCTGCTCCCTGCCCCCTCCCCGGGTGGAGATGGATGCAGCGATGCGCTCCCCCACAATCCCCCCAACACACACCCTTCACCCAGCCTCGGCCCGCTTGGCTCCCACTGCGCGTCCCCATGGCAACCGGGTGATGGCGCAGGTCGCGATGCCTGCTGAGGAGCAACGCGGCCGCCCAGCTCCCCGCCCCGCCGCCCAGGCTGGATTGGTGATAGGCAGGGCCTCAATCTCCCCAGATGATCGGCGATAATTGGTTTATGGAAATAGCTGAGGGGAGAAGGCGAGCTCCCTGCCAAGCCTGCTTTCTGCCACCTGTCCTTCCTCACCACTGAATGGAGTTGGGGGAGGGGCGGGCCGGGCTGGGCGGGTGGAAATGGGGCTTTTGAGACAAGCAAGTGTTTCACCTGTTGGTCGCCAGCACACCGTCTATCCCCCTTTCACTGTGTGGGAGTGAGAGGGTTGTTGTCATAGCAACTGGGTGTTTGTGTCAGTCACTCCTTGACCTCTAAGTCTGTGCTCAGGCCTACAATGGATGCACTGATGGGGAAATGGAGGAGTTCTGGGATCTATCCTCAGGAGCCCCAATTTGGGGAATAGAGGAGCAGCACATAACTTTACATAAACTATGTCAGACCAGTGTGGCCACTGCTATCGGGCTCCAGGAGAGAGAGCTCAAGTCTGGTGGCTGCCTGGAGGAGGAGGCATCGTGAACAAGTCTTGGAAGGTGGGATTTCAGCAGGTGTTGGGGAGAAAGCTGGGGCAGGAACTCCTCAAAAGGAGATGTAGGCAAAAGCCTGTAGGCGAGCACTGAATGATGCTAGTGTTGGTGGAGGAGGGGAGGTGTGGGGTACCTTGGGGGAGGCCCTGGTGGCTCACAATGTGGCTCCCAACCTAAGGGATGACAAGCCTGTGGGAGGAGCTTACTGCACAGTGCTTTATAATCAAGACTGAGGGGATGTCCAACATCCATATAGAAGCTGGCTGTATGGAGACTCTGTTGCCCTCGATGCCCTTCCAGGAGACATGAGGCCTGTGAGGTGGGCAGCAGACATGGCACAGCAGGCTTCGCTCAGATATCGGCTGTGAGAAATGTGTACCCTGACTGCACTGGGCTGGAGAGGTGTGGGGGGGCGCACATGGTACATTAAAGGACCAGAACTAGGGAAGCCCCCACAGTGACTGGAGAAGTGGTGGGGGTCCAGGAGGAGGATGGTCATGCGGACCCCACCCCAGGGTTGGGTGTGGTGGGATAGGGCACCCAGAGGCTGGGAGAGGCAGCCCCCAGGTCTTCTTCCTTTGACCACCACCTCCTACTGAGCCTAGCCCAGGCCTCTGCATCCAGGGGCCCTGGCCCCGCCAAGGTCGAGTTGTAGCTAAGCCCTGCCCAGCGGGCTGTGGGATAAAGGAGTGGCTCTTCCTTCCTTGGTGAGTAGCTTCCCACGCAGCAGGGAAGATGCCAGGCCTCACATTTGCAAAGCTCACAGCCCCACACCATCCCCAGCCCCCACTCTCAGCCAGCTACTTACACTACCACATAGGGCCACGGCTCGGAGCCATCCTTGCAGGCAGGTAGGTTGGTGGCCCCGTGGAGAGTGACCATGATGGTCTCCTTATTAGAGGGAGACAGGTGGCCAATGACAGATTCCACACTCTGGGAGGTGTTCAGGGGGTCCTCTGGGCCCTCGACAACCTGTGGAGACAGCCAGGGCTGAGTGGCCTCTTCCTGTCTGGTCACCTCCATTTACTGCCCACCTTTAACACTAGCCCCTCACGGCTCCCCTCCAAGCAGCTCTCCCTCCGTCATCCCCCAACCCACTCAGGAACTACAGGGGCAGTCGCCTTGGACCCCATTTTCTCCTTCTCTGTCCCACATTCTACATCTCTCTCAGTCCCTCTTGCCTCTCCCCCAGTCCTGGATCCATCACCTCCTGCAGATGAGACAGGCCACCTCACCTTTCAAGTCCAGTCCCACCCGAAGCCTTTGCCTTTGCAGGTACCCTTGCCTGTAATTCCTAAATCCCACCCGCTTTTGAGGTCCTAGCAGTTGGCCTTCTTCAGTCTTTCCTGTAACCTCACCGCAGTGCACCTGTCACCTCAGGTCCCTTCTGTGCACCCCACTTTACAGTTTACAAAGCTTATCCACATCCATAGAGTCACCCAACACATTAATGGAGATGAATAAACATGTCTGTCCCACATGCCTCATCCATCTTCTACCCAGAAAACCCTGCAGACCAGGAAGGAGGAGAAGTGGCTGCTGCACATGGTTCTAGGTATTTTCGCTGTAGGCATCTTTCCCCAAACATTTTCATGGCAAACAAAAGATAAAATAACTGGTTGACAGTTTGGTTTCAACTACTTCCCCATTGATGCAGTAGTCCCTTTTTTTTTGGTGAGGAAGATCAGCCCTGAGCTAACATCCATGCCAATCTGCCTCCATTTTAATTTTATATGTAAGACGCCTCCACAACTTGGCTTGACAAGCGGTGTGTACGTCCACGCCAGGGATCTGAACCCACAAACCCTGGGCTGCTGAAGCAGAGCGTGCAAACTTAACCACTATGCCACAGGGCTGGCCTCCAGTCCCATTTTTATAATATACAAATCTTAACTCCACATTTCCCATAGAACTTCGGAACATCTATTGATGACCTTGTGACAATATGCCAAGAACAACAACAGTATAGAAGGCTTTTCACAGCGCAGTACAGAGCTCAGTTACAAACACGCATCCGATATTTGGACATTGACACCTCTCGTAATGAAGGAAGACATTTTAGCAAAAAATAAAAAATGTCACTTAGAAGACAAGTGCTTAGGGACACTCCACAAAATAAAATGTTATTTGTGCAGTACTGCCATGAAGCTACACAGAGGTGGCCTCAAAGGGTTGGGAGAACCTGCACAGGTGGAGCTGGAGGACAAGCTGGAAAGCAGAACACTGGAGGAGGCAGCAGAATGGGAAGGGGAGGGAGTTTCCGAGGCCCGGGGCAGGCTCAGGTTGACTCTGGAGGCAGTGGGGAGTCAGGGAGGCTGGCAGAGACGCTCATTTGTGGTGAGTCAACACCGCGGGGTGGGGCGGGGTATGGACATGCTGCGGCTCCGGGTGGCCTGGTCCTCCCTCTGTGCTGGCTGGCTGATTCTCACTCCCAGGGCCTGGACTTGACACAGTTGACCCAAATGAACCCTTGCTGGGCCTCACGTGGCAGGAGGCCACCCTACCCTTTGTCCTGCTGATTAATAGGCACCAGCTGATGTGACGAGCCACAGAGGGGCCCTGCTGGCCCTGGGAGAGGAGAAATGGACCTCCTCAGGTTGGAGATGGGACCCTGAGGAGGTCACTAGGGGCCGACCCGCTCATCTGGAAAGCTCAGCCTGTCCGACCCTGCCCTGCATTCCAGGGCAGGCCCTGGGGGCAAGGGGGAGTCCTCAGGGTGAGAAGGGTCCATGGAGCCCACCGAGAATGATGTCTTGTTACACAGAAAGGAGACCGAGGTCCAGAGAGCGGTGTGGCCCCGGCAGGCTGGGTCCCCTGGCTCAGTCTTGATGAGCACTGAGTGTCAGGAGAGCTGAGTTTAAACCAGCTCTGCCTCTCACCACAGCCTGGAACCCGCCCTGCTTCCTGTGTGAGGGCCCAGGTTCCCCACACAGTCTCCTCCCACCTTGAGCCTGGGGGTCCTGGGCACAGTGGCTCTTGGCAGGCTCCAGACAGAGGGAAAGGGAAAGGCCTGAGGACTTTTATGACTGTAACATCATTCAGTTCTCACAATAGTGGTGTGGGGTGATCGTGAATATGAGCCCCACCTATGCCAAGCCGTCAGCAGGTCCTGCCAGACCTACCTTCAAGCCATGCCTCGATCTGACCGCTTCTCACCATCTCCACTCCCAGCACCGGTCCAAGACATGGGATTTCCACACTCATGTCCTAATCGCTTTCTTGTTTCCTTCTGGTCCTACTCACCCTGCCCCATCTCATAGAGTGGCCAGAGGGAGCCTTCACAATTTTCAGACTTGATCATTCCTCTGCTCAATACCTGCAGTAGCTCTGCATCACTCAGAGCCTCACAATGTGTAGGGACCTACATGCTCTGGCCTCACATCATCTGGGGCCCCTTGCCCCCTCGCTCCAGCCATGCTGGCCTCCTAGACGTTTCTCTGCCCCGCAGACTTTGCCCTGCTGTCCCCTCTGCCTGGACTGCTCTTCCCCTACATGTCCTGCCCTGTGGCTTGCTCCCTCACTTCCTGCAGGTCTGACATTATCAGAAAGGCCTTGGTACAGGCTGTGGTCCTGGCCTAACAAGATGACTAATTAGGAGGTGAGAAGCCCCCTCCCCAGCCCCAGAAGTGCCAGACCTACAGACAAACCCTCCCCTTCCTCTGAGTGAGGAGCGTCCCCCTCAGGACCCAGCATGGCCTGTCAGCATCTGCAGAGATGTTGAGAATTACCCCCCACCCCCAACCCACCATTCCCTGTCAGGCCAGCGGGGACGGGGAAGGAGGTCAGTCCTCAGAAGGAACCTCTGCCAGGTGGAAGGGGAAAGGGGGTGAAGCAGCCACAGAGCCACCCCCTCCCCTCATAGGTCAGAGATGCTGCCTGCCCATGTTCCACCCTCACTGCACACCCCATAACCCACCCTACTCCCCAGCAGGTTTGGTCTCCAGGTTTAGTAGAATGGGAACAAGACTAGCAGCCTGGGGGGTGAAGAGACCCAGATTTCAGCCCAGTTCTGTCCTCAACTCGCTGTGTGACCTCTCTGAGCCTTAACTTTCCTGCCTAGTCAATGGGGAGATCTGGAGTGATTTGTAATTTAGTTGTCCCAATAACCGACCTAAGCTTCCTGCAATGAAGCCAGGAGAGGCGACTAATGTTCCTCCCACCCCCGGATTCTCAGAAGCAGCCTAAGATGGTAGCCCCAGCCGCCTTGTGGCTGTGAGGGCACAGTGCCTGTCATGAGCCCCCTAGGACCCCAGAAGTGAGGGCCTAGCAGCACGGCCATTGCCCAAGAGCTCTCACTGACTGCCTGGCAGCCCTGGAGCCCAAGCAGTCATTTTGCAGACAGGCCATGAGTTGTTCCCCCTCTATGTCCTCCATGTCCTCTACGCCCTCTGTGCCTCCCCCCTCTGGGACAACCTTCTGGGAAATAAAGCTTGCAGGGGGTTTGGCGAGAATTGCTCATGCTTCACTTCTGGGCATGAGGCCAGCTGCCAGGCTGCCGCCTCCTGGTGAGGCCTGCAGGCATGTGCCTGCTGGGCAGGCTGGGCCCAGGGCCAGGGAGGCCTAGGGCCAAGTGAGAGGCCTGGAGGGGGACGATGGGCCAACCTTTCTGCCTTCCCCTCTTTCCTGCCTACGTCTGGATGGGAATCTGCTGGCCTCCCTCAGAGATGTCCCTGCATCAGGACCAATGTCCTCCCCTCCCAACCCCTACCCTCCTGGGCCTGCATTGGAGCATTTATCAGGGAATAGAAAATGCACAGGCTGGGTTACATGTGCGGGAGTGAACTGCAGGTGGTGGTGAAACCCCCCTAAATCTCCGGTTCCATAGACCCATCTGTGGGGGTGAGAGGAGCCCAGGGGAGGGAATCCACTTCCCCTGAACGTCTCCTGGAGGCCAGGAGCAGAGCTGGGCACTTACTCACCCTTAGCCCACCCAACAGTGCTAGGGTGCAGAAATTGGTGGGCAATATTTCCAGACAGGGGTTTGGCCGGAGTACCTGCCCAAGACTACACAGTGAGTAGCCGGCAGGGCTGGGCTGTGAGTCCTGATGCCCACTTGATTCCAAGGCCCAGACTCTCAGCTGCTCCACCAGGGCTGGCACTGGGCAGGCGCAGAAGTTTCACGTTCTAATGCCTCACCTTCCAGACAGTCTGCTTTGCCCTCAATAAGCCAGGATTTGCCAGGTGTCCCAAGGGACTGGGACTTCCTATCACTCAGGGCATTTTGGGATGTCTGTGGTGGGGGGAGGGGACAAGAGTGGGGGTAGGAAGATTGGACAGCAGTGAAGGAGTTAATGGCGCATTCGATTCAGCTCCCAGCGCAGGGGCTTAAATTGGTTCTGGTGGGGAGAGGGATGGAAGGAGACAAGACTCCTCTACCCCTCCAGACCCCTCTCCCTTGCCACCCCTCTGCCCCCAGCAATCTAGGAGGCCACGGGAAGCAAGGAAGCCCAGTTTCACCCTCCAGGAGGGCATTGAGTCTGACAGCCAGGGGCCAGAGGAGGGGGCACTGGGCTGGAAGGCAGGGGTCTGGCTGCCCGTGATCAGTCATTTGGGCAAATTATTAGACTCTAGGGGCCTCAGTTTCCTCAGCTGTATCACAAGAGTTTTGAGTTAAAAACGGTCCCTCATGTTTCTTCTAGTTTCCGCACGCCTGGGAGTTATGAAGGCCATAGTGAGGCCCTTTATAGGTGAGCAAACAGGCTCAGGGCCATGAAAGCCTTTGCACCAAGGCACACAGCTTAGTGTGTGTGTGTGGGGGGGTAGAGCTGTAAGTGGGACCAGGTCTGTCGGCCTCCACTTCCTGCTGCCTCTGCTCTGCTCTAACCTGCATTCCTTGGCTGTGAGGTGCTTTCTCTGAGCCACAATATATTTGCCCTCGGGCTCATGACCCGAATGCACCGGCACTGGCACTCGTTGGTACTAGCAATAGGAGCTGTGGTGTTTGGAGCAGGAGAGGCTTTTCAAAAGATGAC